TTCAGACGGTTGAAAATTCAGCTATGCCGTTCGTATAGTTGTTAATCGATAAATAATACATAAAAAATATATAATAATATGTCCCCTTTGCACAGGCTACAGTGGCAATGTAATGGGAATTTCCCGGCGTTTCGGTGTTAGTACAGCAGTCTAGACTAAGAAGGTTAGGTCTTAGGTCAGACAACTTATAAAAAGGCAAAAAGTCCAAGAAGGTTATCAAACAAATTCTTATCTCAAAAAAAAAAACTGCATTAATTGAATATTACGCCATAGGTTCTTGTGTACTGCGGTGCCTTCTGAATGTACCAAAATCAGACAAATGTTCCCGTTACCCTCCTCCTAAATTCTGCATACTGATTTGAAAATGTTATTGTGTTACCTCAGAGTACTCCAAAGTTTAAAGAAATGTTACGTACAATGTTATTGTTCAGTGGAACTTACGAATATAAAAAAAATATATATATTTAACATAATGTTAACTAAAAACGGACACAACGAGTAAAATCAAACTTAAAGCTTTATCAGTTCCTTTAACCGATGATAATAATATCGAATATTATGTTTTCTAAGCCACAGATTTATGTGGGCAAGATATCCTGCCGTAGTGTAGTTTTCGTCGGCTTATATAATTTATCTCTTACTGCATTGAGATACTTACCTTCAAATGTCAATAAATGCGTTATTATTATTATTATTTATAATGTACCTAGTACCTACAATACAATTTTTTAATTTAAAACTCAATACCGTCAAATTTGACGTATAAGGTTAATTTATTTTCATAATATCTTGCCGACAGAACGTTAAACGTGTTAGCGTCTATTGCATTGCACGCGAATGTACAAATATTAATTTTACTTAAAAATAAATTGTATGCATATTTAGCACATTGAAAGTTAACGAGATAATGAGTTCTATAATTTTATGAAATGCAATATTGTGATAGTTGTAATTTAGCCTGGCGCTGTATAATTTATCGGAGGCTCTCGTACGCCATACATGTATGTGTGTGTAATAATGCAGTATATTATAATTCCAAAGGGGCAAAGGCCAAGTGATGTAATCACTAAAAATGCAATTTCACAGGAAAGACTGACATTTCAATAGTTTCGTTAAAAATTATCCAAGGAAGGTAACATTTGATTGGTAAGTCGTTAAACTCGTATTTAATAATTAATTATACGGTTAAAAGTGAAAAATGATTTTTTATATATGCTTCAGAGCGAAGCAAGTTGAGGGTTACAGTACTTCACCAAGATTGATATTTGAAATTGAGGGTTGCGCCATAATAGAACACTACAATTTACAAAACAATGATGAATTAAAGACTTGTAGCGAGGGCGAAATCAATTGATTGGAACCGTTTACCGTCTTTAATTGTAGTTTGATACGTTGTGGCTCACGTCATTTGACAATATCAAAAAAATGATTTGTGTCTTACCATAATCAGGTAAAACTTCAATTCCAGGGTTACATCACTTGGATTATCCCCCGTTGAATTTATAAAAATTATAAGATTAAGTTTTACCATTTTATGAACAAAATTGTACCTAATATCGATTTTTAGCTGAGCTGTGTATATTTTACCCGATGCTCTTTATACGACTGCAATTATTTGCAATAAAAGTGATTTCTTTCAATGCACCTTTTTTTTTTTTTGATGTGTCGAATTAGAATTTGTTGATGGGTCTTTTTTTTTGCAAAAATTCGCCGCATTCTTACAAGATGCGTGTTTACAGCAGGATTCCGTCAGTCGTCGATGTATCTGCGCAATATTATATTTAATACGCTATTGAGAAATAATTCTAATAATTAACCGTAAACGTACCTAATAACATGGATAAAATTCGTTTCGGGCAAATGTAGAGTAAACTAGCTATTACTTATGCAGTAATAAGTGTACTATTATATTATGTTATTTGAAAACGTACGGCGTATTCGCGTGATTTATCCACACAACTTTTGGACCGCGGGAGCAACGTCTTGTCCTCAAGGCGAATATATTAACGATGTATACCTACAGGAGTGGTTTATAATGTCGTACGGAGATTGTATAATATATATATATGCATGTATACACACTGAATTTACGTGATGTTTGACCAGAGCACGCCGTTGTGTGCGGACGGGTGGGCGTAAGAATCGCACACACACATTTATAAAAATATAATAATATAATGTACGCAAATGAAGGAGCCGAGAAAAAAATATCGAACGGTGTGCGTGCATTAAAATCATACACACCGCCAGTTCATCTGGGTCGCGTACAAATATCCACGCCGGGAGGTTCACGGTCACTCTACGCGGCGGCGTGTCCAGAGCGGATTGTATGATATTTCTATAATATACGCACGGGCGTCAATAAAATATTGTCGAGGGAAAAAGAATCAAACATTACAACGGATGGGACACGATACACCGCGTGTTCGTAGTGCCTACACGCGAGAGGGACTTACACGAGGTGTCCACGTCGGAGACGTATGCGTACGCCCACCGTTTGAACCCGATACTAATTTATGTAGGAATTTCGCGCGGAATCGGCTCGTTTGTATTTGCGACGACAACGTCACGCGCACATGGCGCAACGCGTTTAATATTATGACGGCCAATGTGTTCCAATGTTCCAAAATATTATGGGCTTCCGGAGACCAGAATTTGGGGGGGCACCCACGATATTTTTGGGCACTCCCGTCTTAACGAGACGCGTACCCATACACATTGACCAGTGATATATCATAATTTATTACTAGTATCAAGCCGTATATTTCCTTGGGCCTAATGTCTATTTCTAAGGTGGTTGCAATGTTTATTTGTTTTTGGTACTTTTGCAGTCAATAACATCTAGCTGTTATAATCATAATAGACTTTAAATCAAATTTTAAAAATGTTACGTTTTATTAAGTTGGATATATACATATATCCACCTTGGTTTTATTGTTTTTTCATCAAGAAACATGATTTATTCTTTAACAAGTATTTTAAAATAAATGTAATCTTATTAAAATAACGTAAATTAAAATACGGGCCCTATGCTCTGGAATAACTTTAAGTTTAGGGCTCCAATTACAAGGAGAGACACCCTGCACCTCCCCCCCGTGCGCACGCCTGTGTAATAAATGAATATAATATTATTTTATTATGTGATGATAAGAAGACGTGACACCCGACACCTGCAGTGCTGCATAATTATTTAAGTTCAGCTTTGGTATAATTGAATAATATAAAATAGGTTTCATATAGTTTTGTTGTTTTTAACATCAGCGTAAACTTAGTTGGGTTATCAAAGTTTATAAAATCAAGATTATAAGAAGATACATATACCTGCGTATTATCTCTTCGGATATTCTTCGATATCGGAATGATTTTAACGTGAGGTATTTATGAGCACCTATTTAAGGGTTTATCGAATGTAAAAAAATGTATATCCTATATCCCGATTGGCGAATAGTAATGTAAATATCGAGAGAAAAACTCCGACGAGAGAACATGTAGATAATGGTATTATTTTATTTACAGTAAGTTGATTTTTACCTAAAAAGCCATTAACACTATATTCGATTGACCATTAAGGACTACCTAAGGAAAACAAAAATGTATCATACTGTCGACAGAAACAACAAGTAGTACCACAATAGTACCTACGGGTTCATGTCCTCATAATTCATAATATTAATAATAATTCATTTACGCCGCACGTGAGTGTATTGACATGGATCGATGTATGCATAATATATTATACATAGTGTTCATCGTGTTTGTCTTACAAACCCGCCTTCCACTAGCAGACTTCATAGTACACACCATACACTTACTACCTATTTTACTTATATTTTAAAGTTAAGGACTAAGTATAGGTATTCCTTAGTCATCTATTTGATTACTACTATAATACATCTGCACTTATGGTGATCATAATTTAGCTTTTAAAAATATATTTACATACATTGTATACACAAACTGGCCATTTTATATTCGTAAGATGTGGGTTGGCACTTACAGTTACAACGGATTTGATCCTTCAATACATATGATATAAGTACAGTTATGATTTTCAAAAACATTGATTGGAAAAAAAATGGAGAAAAACACGGAGAGGCACTCTGTATAGAGTGCTATACTTGTGCTACGCTTCACGAGGACGTCGAGGAGATTATTCGCAGGAGTCGCGTTGTATACATAAACATAATAGGCATGTGTATAATATTATATAGGTGTAGATACCTGTTGTAGTCATAGTCGACCCATTGTACGCTTCAAATTGTTTTTGGATTTTTCATTGGCCAATGGCAAAACCAGTAACTGGTTACTGGTTATATTATTATTTTTTATTTTTTCAAATTATTTCCATACGCTTCTTGGTGGTAACTGTAACTGACCGCCTAAATTATCTAACACGTCGTGGACCATCACGATTAGCGTTTGGTGCGATATTCGAGACGTGCAAAAATGACGACGACTTTGAATCTAATAAAGATTTGTTGTTGTTGTTCTTCGCCTTTTCCTCACAAATATGTATGCGGTGCGGGTCAACCTATTGTCTTACAGCTCCGATCTATATTAAATGTGTTGGGACTTGTTACATTAAATTGTGATATCCACGGTATTGCGGAAATGTACAAGAGTATCTATATAGAAAAACAAAACAAAAACGATTTCGTAATATATATTTTGTCTTTATTATACAATCTAGTTTTTATACACATTTCTACGAGATAAATCACATCACAGTTGCTGCTGATGAGGATATACCTAAATAATATTATACTTTTATTGTCTACATCGTTTTTATATAATATAATATTATACTGTAGGATATATGCCTAAGCTGTCGAGCGAATTAAAATCTAAATGTATCAAACACACATCATACACAAAAATATTATAATAATAAGTAACAACAATATAATATTCAATTTTTTAATTACACACTATCTAAATCTATAGCTATTCAATATAATATATGTATATAATAATACTATTGGACGTGTCTTGCAAAGGAAAATAAAATAGTTGACTAACTACGCGCAGTACCTACCTACCTATTTTAAATACCTACTTATGGTCTAGGCGTATAAATAATTTAACTCGTATTATCATATATAACTAACGTAAACCATCTATGACGGATAGTTAGTAATAGTTAAATATGTTAAAACTAGATCACTTTCTCTACGAAAAAAAAAAAAAGGTCGACAATTAATAATAATAATAATACTAATAATGCTAAAAATATTGTAAAAGTAATGTACAATTTTTTTTGTTACTGATACATATGTTCTATGCAAATTATGATGCAGTATAAATACTATGTACAAAATGCAGTAATAAATTACACAGTATTGGTAATTAGTGTAATTAATACATCACACAGATTTCCATACGTATTTACGTTACAAAATATAATTTATAATAAAAATAAATATATTTTAAAAGTGATGAAGACGTTCTAATAACATAGCAACTGAGCATCTTGGTTTATTCTATATATAGCACACCGATTAAGTCTGTAAAAAAAAAAAAAAAAACAAATAGTCAAAACATTGTAGTTAAAGCTAGTTATTTAGTATTTTTTGATTTATCATCGAAACGTTTATTTGCAGTTCAGGTCTATAGTTTAAAGATTTAACAGATAGTTATTGTAATTTTATATTACAAATACTTGTACGAGTATTGTAAATACCTATATACTATCAGGTGAACTTAGAATATTATAGTTTTTCCTGTGGTCTGGTGTCTTATCAGTGTTATCACTTATACGGAGAACTGTTTTGTCAAATTCAAACGCCTGCCCTATCTATTTCCCGCAGGAACAAATACTGAAATTCCTACAATACACAACCATGTCGTTTCATATCTTTAGACGAGCCATCCGATGGAAAGATAGAATCCTATAACATTTTAGCTGATTAGCTTCAGAGTAAGCCCCGTCGGTAATCAACTACTAGACGCTCATTTTAGTAATATCGATTAGGATTTGTAACGATTTGTCAGATTTCGATTTCTTCGACTATTCCTACTGGCAGACAGGCGTATACTATGTCGAGAAACAATAAATCAAAAGCAGTGTTATATAAATATAATTGTATTTCGACCCGTCTTAGATGCACTCACCCGTTGCTCATAAATGCGTCACGATGATCTCGTCGTCGATGTCGTCCTTCTCGTCGTCGGTCTCGTTGACGGTCTCGTCGGGCAGCGGCTCCGACTTGGGGTCGTCGGCCAGCCGTTTGAGCCTCCTGGCCTTGACGCTGTGCCTGATTTCGACGATTATGTAGCCGACGAACCCGATAAACAGCACGACGCCCATGACGTACAGCTTCTTCCGGGCGCACAGGTGGGTGCTGTACGCGTACGCCACCACGAAGCCGGCAGACTCCCACAGCCGATAGTTACTGAACGCCGCCTCCTTGTTGCGCCTGAACAGCGTCCCGTAGATGCCTGTGGGCAGACGAAAGGGATTTTTCTTTAAAAAAATTTAATTTTATGAAAAAACGGTTTTTTTTTCTCGTCATACGTCTAGGCCAAGTAACGCGAGGGCAGTATATTATATTTTAGGGCAGGCCTCGGGGTATACAGGTGTAACCGCTTCTTATATAGCTGTATACTCTGCGCGATAGGCGCAGCGGTTGTCTAGATGGGGGGGTGCGATGCTCGTAAACGCAACGGGGCCTCGAGGAATACAGTTTTCAAATTTGAAGTTCAATCAAATTGCTCGAGCGGCTTAAATAAAGAAGAGAACTGTATGCAATTTTTGACACCTGCGCGATGACAAAGGTACGACGTTTTTTTTCTCCTTCCTTCGATTATACAATGTATTTTTTATATTTGTATATAGAGGTGTACCTATTATATTGCAATGGACATTGACAATAAATGTAATAAATACGAGTATATCTCTACCAAGCTGCAGTGGTTATTGTGGTTGGCGGTTATATGATGTGATATAATATTGTATAATATGAAAGTTATCTGTAATACATTGGTTTTCACACCTTTTTTAATAAATTTATGTAGGATTGCGTGAACAATTAATTAATTTAATAATAAACTAAAATTGAATGGACTAATCACTTAGTTATCTTCTAAGTGGCCATTAGCTGACTATTGATTCATCGAATGTTATAAGCGATTGTTTATGTAACTCTGCATTAGGGTGCAATTTTTTATTATTATTATAACTAATATTTTAAAACAATGTTTTGTTTTTTTTTTAAATTTATTCCTTTCAAATTATAACAAATTATGAAATATTTTAATTTAACAGAAATCTAAGCAAGTGCAATAATAACAGAATCAATATTGGTTATAGATTTTTCATTGGCAATATTATTACCCAAAATTATTAACGTTACCTATAGTCTTTAGTCATACATTACGTAACATGCGTACTTCAGTGGTGGCCACCAAATTTCTGCAACACCTCATAAGTAGATAGCTACTAACGAGTAGAAAAGGTGACTTTGTAATTTACACATTAATTATTGGAAGCGCATGTTACCGTCTGTGTTAAGACATTATAACTACTGGTTGTTTATATATTTTTTTAATTACACACGATGGGTATAGCATGGATTTTTTTGATTTCCTCTTAATAATGATCAAAGAGTGTTATTGCTTTAAAGCTATGTATTGTTTTTTTCTGCTTACAATGGATATAGCATACAAGAATAACATTATGATTACGATTTATATATTAAAATATATTATGTACAAATACGACGTCCAACACACGTAGGTATATGTAATAATTATGTTTTATGCACGATAATCAACATGCATTATCTATTAACGTTATCTATATTTATCATTTAATTCAATTTATACGCTCGTCAAATTATAAAGTGCATAAGATTAAAAATTGAAAATTAATTACATCAAATTGTTTTTATTACTTAATACCATTGTAACATCTTATTTTATACCTACCTGATAATTATATATATTTTTTTGTTTAGATAGGGTACACGCCTACTATTTCGACAAACGCTGTTGTGAAACATACGACCTATTGTGATACCTATGTCAAATATTTCAATTTTTGAAAATATTCATCTTTTGCAGTAGGTACCTGATGAGTAGATATTAATTTACTTAGTGCACATAATGATATAAATGATGAAAAGAACTGCGTGCATATAAAATAATAATGTATTTATATATTAGAACGATAAAGGGATTTAAATATCATTACAGGATGATAATATAGGTATAAATAATGTTTTTACACGACAAATCACACTTGGAGTTTTGGCAGGCGATAATGATAGTCAAATTATCAATGTATAGGCTACAAAAATAATATTAAACATACTAATAACACGATACATAATACGTATGTATATAATATAAAGATGAATTTTTAAGGCTAATCAAATAAATGTATAATTTAATTTTAGGTTAATCAGTGGTATGATAATGTGGTGGGAGATCAGGGTGTCAAATCACCCACTTGGCTTTTTTTTTGTTAAGGCATACAGAATTTTCGAACATAATATATGGTGTATGTAAGTATTTATTATAAAATGTTATACTTATAGGTAGTTTGTTTTTTTAATATCTGTTAATTGTATTGTTAAATGCAACACAGTATCCGATATCATTATTGTGATGACATGTTTTTTTCGTTTTCTTTGAGTCCAAAGCAGTTGGTTCAATGAAAAAAGTAACCAATAAATCGCATTGTTTCTTTATAAGTATTTTAAGTTTAGATAATATAATAACACCTACATGACAATTTTTCATAATTTTATGTGGTTATTAAAATGTATAAATTTAAAACACGTTGATTTGATATCCTATATTACAGACCTTAAAATACAGATTTTATTGAGAAAAAAAAAAATTACAATATACAATTTGTAAATCAGCGTATAAGGTATAACACTGCAATAATTATAGCCTAGCCTAGATTTTTGTATCCTCTAGTAGTCTGTCGTGATGTGGCATATAAATATATAAATTATTCGCACTCCTATTTATATGACGGTTGATTTTTGCCGCGAAGACTATGTTATATTTTACCTGTGTATTCATGTTTATCGCATGTTTATATAATATATCTACGGTATGAGCATATAGTAGCATGCAAACATTCCTTCTGTAGCAAAGCTTATTGTTGATATCAAAAAAACCATTATGTTGTTGAAAATAAATCGGCCAATATTATACTACGCCTATGCTGAAGAACACACAGCGTAGGGATGAGTCGTATATTGTATTGTAATATCATTATTATTATTGTTGTTGTTGTTGTTACTTGTTGTGCTGTGATGAGATTATGAACGCACTTGAAAATACTCAGAGTGCAGTAATAAACATATTATGTATGTATATATAATATAACGTACATGCGTGTGCGTGCTGGGTATGCCGCGCGGGCGTGTCATCAATGAATGGACTATGTATTTTATTCCCCGCTCCGTCGTATACCGCGGTAGTGGTTTTCAATTAGTGGCCGGGGTGGGAGTTGACAATCGTCCAACCCCCACACCCAATTGGGTTGTTTTTGTATTATTTTTTTACACGGTTTTATTTATCGGGTGTATTTAAAAAAATGTCATTCATAACTTTAAATTCTGGTTACATCTGCATACCCATCTGTTGTAGGCAGTGAAAGAACGTCAAGCGATTATTAAATTGCACGTATCGTTTACCAGGTCTTGAGCCGGGGTAGAACTTTTTTTTACACAAATTATGTCAACCAAAACTTTTTGGAACAGAAAAAATGCTCTTTGGTCTTACGTACAGTAGGTATCTCTATAATTCTTGTAATAACGCAAAAATTAAAAGAATAAAATAATTTAAAAGAATAAAATAATTTATAAGAAAATCACCGTAAATGTTAGTACGACGCCTGCCGACACTAATATTCAAGATGATCTAAATTTACGTTACTACCTTCCTCCTGATCGTCGGAGGGTTCTCAAGATCGTGTATACGAGAATTTGATCAAATACACTTCTATGATGTAAATGTAAATGCATGCACATATAATTTAATATAATGCAGTCAACAATACTATATTTTATATTTTAATATGTATTATGTCTTACCTGACTCGCAGCTGTCTCTGGGTTATGCAGTAGGAGTTTTAGGTGACACAAATTAATTATTTAAAATACTCGAATAAAAATAAAGAAACACACTGATTATTGCTCGTCAAAAGGAGTCCAGTTGTCGCTCGTAGAATTCGGTATAGAGAGGTTGTTAATCTGTTT